GTATTATGTGTATTCCACATAAAACATTTATTTGATATATCTATACCATTGATTTGAATACCGTCCTCCTAGAGAGAAATATATATAGTTGATCCCACTTAAAATATGGTTCATGTAGGGACACGATTAATTTATAGTTGGCCCAATTAAATATTTTATTAGAATAACTTGTTATTTAGATATATAAACTAAAATAGTATTAAGTCCCTATAATATGCGTATTTTTAGTGGGATCAAATTTTAATAACTCAGTACAACTAGAAATGTATTGTGCTTTCATATTACCCATAAATTTGGTTGGACCGACATTGTTTTTTGTAGAACGTAACTTATTTACCTTATTTTATAGGTTAAATTATATTTCAACATTTTGAAATAATAATTGTGTTCGAAAAACTTGGAATATTAATTATTTTTAACAATATTTTCATGCATAGCTAACTAAAATTGTTTACTGTCAAAGATATAATTCATCCGGATCAAGTGTTTTTAGAAACATCGTATTATGTGCTGTTTTTTCCAAATATTATTGCCATTTGCGTCATACTTTAATAAATCTGTTTCTATATACTTTGAATAACATTTGTTAAATAATGTATATTATGTTCAATTGAATATTAAAAGTTAAATAATATATTTAAACATTTTGACTTATTTTTTTCAAAAAATATCAGGAATATTTAAAATATTCCACAATTATTTCATGTAACTATAACCAAAATTGTTTATTTCTAATGAAATGTTATTTCAGGTTTCCGTGTTTTGTAAGAACACGGTATTATGTGCTGTTTTTTTCCAAATAATAATGCCTTTGGCGTCATATTTATAAAAATATGTTTGTATATAGTTTGAATAACATTTGTTAAATAGTGTATATTATATTCAATTGAATATTTTTTTGACATATATGTTTGGAAATTTAGTAATTGTAGATGTTTTTAAATGGGAAAACCAAAACTTAGAATTTTTTTAGAAAAAATAAGTGGTTTATCCTTAATGTATCTACACCATTGATTTGTATACTACCCTACTCTACAGAAAAAGTATATTATTGGTCCAATTTGAACTGTATTAATGTACAGACAAGATAAATTTTTAGATAACCCAATTAAATGTTTTGTTAGAACAACTTGTTATTTAGTTATTTGAACAAGAAATTTGATGAGCCCCTATTATGTGCTTACTTTTAGTGGGATCACATTTTAAATAAGTCAGTCCAACTAGAATCGTATCGTGCCCTCATGTAACCATGGTTTTAGTTGGACCAACTTAATATTTTGAAGAGGGTAGCTTAATCACCTTAATTTATAGGTTAAATAATATATTTAAACATTTTGACTTATTTTTTTCAAAAAATATCAGGAATATTTAAAATATTCCACAATTATTTCATGCAACGATAACCAAAATTGTTTATTGCTAATGAAATGTTATTTCAGGCTTCCGTGTTTTGTAAGAACACGGTATTATGTGCTGTTATTTTCCAAATAATAATGCCTTTGGCGTCATATTTTAAAAAATATGTTTCTATTGTATAGTTTTAATAACATTTGTTAAATAATGTATATTATATTGATTTGTGTACTTCCCTCTTACACAGAAAAAATACATAGTTGGTCCAATTGAACTATATTAATGCAGAGACACGATTATTTTATAGTTTACCCAATTAAATGTTTTGTTAGAAAAACTTGTTATTTAGATATTAAATACATTTTCAAGAAATAATCTTAGGGCCTAAAACCGATGAGAAATTGCAGAAATTTTTTAGTGTCAAAATTTTGATTTTTATTCCAACCAATAAAATGTTATAACTACAGCTGATATTAGTTGTATATTTCTTTAAGTTATACTATTAAATATTATAATTGTAATTAATAGTAATTATCAATTACAACTAAAATATTATGTCGGAATCAGAACAGATACATAATATGTATCTGTATAACTTGTGTAATGTAGAGTTCTACATTTCATATTTTTTTTAAATCATATAAAGACAATCAACAAAAAATAAAAATTGTTTCAAAAAACAACTTGATGTATGACAAAATATAAAAACAGTGAAAAAAAACTTTCAATTGCACCAACGACTTATATGCTATGAGGCATGTGTTATTTGAATTTCGTTTAGATGCTCATCGAAAGTCGAAAAATAATGTTCAATTCAAATTTTAATTATTTTCATAGATACTTTATTGCTATTGACCCTATTATTATTACAATAAAGTTCTACAATACATTTAAACGTTTTAAAACACAAGCAACAAAACAAAATTTTTTATAAAATACAGCTTGATACTGTACGACAATCATAACAGAAAACAATTTTGTTTCAAAAAAATATCACTATAAAATTATATTTTTTTTTTAGATATGTTAAAACATAAAAACTTAATAAACAGTTGTTGTTAGCAAATAGTCTATTTAATGCTTTACAATTTGGTTCTATTTTTACTTTGTTTTTTTAGTCCAAATTATGTCTTAAATTGTTACATTGCAACAGTCGTTGTAAAAACGACATGTTAACTTTGCTAACAACATATTTCAATGTTAAAATATAATCGTGCAATATAAAACCATATAAATTGTCGAAAAATATTGCGTAAGTCTTAAAAAAAGTATTGATAGCATTGTTGCCAAAAAAAAAATATTTAATCTAAAATTTCCTTTTAAATGCAATACATAAAATAAGAATAATTAGACATATCAAGATATTTGCTAATATTATTGAAACATCGAGATTCTACCGTGCAAGAAATAAAATAGGCCAAACATTTAAATACAGAAACAACTGCATAACAAAATATGTTAAGAAAAACACTTCGGTTTTGATAAAAAAAAAAAATAATAATAAAACCATACAAATCGTTTTCGTAAAATACGAAGTTTCTTATAATATTCAATGTTTGTGATACCTTTTGGAACTTACCATTCGTTTAACTTTGTTATGGTGCAGTGGGGGGGGGGGAGGATCACACTCACGACTGTCTGCCTTCTAAGGCTTAATTAAACACAGCCTTCGCTATACAATATTTAGATACGCGGTCAGTGGAGACAAAAAAAGCTTGTTTATTTCAGTTGTTTACACTGTCTCAATCAATGCAGATAACATTTTATCTTATTAAAAAAAAAAACTACTATAAAACTATACACACTATTTTGTAAAACTAACATTTCTTATTATGTTAAAACATAAAGGATTATAATACAAATTAAGTAAACAAATATTATAATAAACGTATCTCTAGACTTTGTACGGTGAATATAAATGACGATTTAAGGATCGGCCAACAGAAAGCGGACATGTCCGTCAACTAGTCCGTTGGTCCACTGCGGACTAGGATAGTCAAATAGAATGCGGACAAGTGTGAGCGAACCAGTGTGAAAATTGCCACTACCAAGAGTGTACTGCTGGTTGTTTTTTATTTTTCACTTTTTTATCTCACGTTTTCTGTTTTCATTTTATTTTACAAAATGTCTAGCAGTTCTTCTGACAAAGAAGAATTGCTTCTTCTGCTTACCTTGAGTCCAGCAAGACGAAAAAAAGAAAATGGGTACATGAACTAAATAAAAAAAGAATATAATTTGGGGAGTTTCACCGACTATGCTGTATTCCCAACGTTCAAACTAGAACTGAACTAAATTGAATTCAATAATTTAAGAGGTCATATTTTTATGAATTGTTTTAAGCCAGATTTTAAATACTAAAATATTAGCCAGAAACTTGATGTTTTAATATACTAGCCACTTTATATATTAGCTTGTTAATATACTATATCATTATCTATCTATGATTGTCTATAATTTCACCACTACTTTAAATTAATTTGGTACTTCAACGAGACATGAAAATGCTCTTTCGTGGTTGCAGACTCAGCTGAAAATGTTTTATTAAATTTTACATTTTTGTGAAGTGTTGAAACCAGTCAAAAGACAGATCAATTCGGCAAAAGCCTTTAATATAAATTTATAATTTACAATTTGTATTTAATACTTATTATAATTAACTAACATAATACTACTACTTTTCCTAAACATCGATACAACGATTATAATTTATGTTTTGTCCATTATTGGATATAACTATACGAGTGATGTGAACTGTTTGAATATCAATAACTATTAATTAAAAAAGCCAGTACAGTCAAGGCTTAGTGAGAACAGAGAATAGTAGGGAGACTCAGTCTGTTGTTAGCGCTGAAGATGACAACATCGTTGTCGTAACACGTGTACGCAAGAAGTGTATAATTTTTATGGTCTAGGGTTCAAGTAGATTTTATATCTTTACTATTTAAATTATTGATTCACTCATACAGAGCAACCTAGAAATTAACTACGGTCAAAGTGTGATTTTCTTGTGAAAGGAATATCACGAGAGTGAAAATTGTGTATTACATAGCCCCGTTATCGTAGGTCTTTCTGCAGTCTAAATTCTAGTCCTTAAAATCAAAACCTTTACACGCAAAATATAAATATAGAAAAAGTCGCCAACTCTTCTAGTGGAATAGCTTTTTGATATTTTTTTGGTTTGTTCATGTTTATCGTTAGTACTTTATCTTTATAACAGCCCATACAAATTTAGAACTAATTCGACTATTTTTGTTGAAGAATCATGGGTTATAAACACCAAAAAGTCTCAAAAATTTTAAAATTCATATGAGATATCCTGTATGTATTGGTTTATAATGAATACACAATAATACTAATATTAATGAAATATATTGTAGCCTAGAAAAGTGCTAATGGTAATATTTTAGCTTTGATACGAGTTTGAGAACGCATTAGTCATACGATGAATGATGATGTGTTTTTATTCTGATCTAAAGTCTAAACACAACACTTCAAAAAGTAAACTATTAAAATAGTTTACACCTCATTTCAAAAACGGATTTAAATTAGGAATGGATTATTTTTATTTTTTTTTAATGTAAATGTTGTTATAACTTCAATATTATCCAGTTGAGTTATAGGAAGTAATAAAATAAATACTAACGAAATGTAAGAGCAAAATGATTTATTAATCAATCAAGACTACATTTTTGTATGTGTCATACTATATAGTACACACACGCATTAATTTTATTAATTGAAATTTAATTTTTCACTAATGTTGCGAATCATATCATCTTTTGTCCAAAAAAGAAACGTGAGTCCTAAAAGTACAAAGTATTATACATTTTTTAATCAAACGAATCAGGCCAATTCAACGACAAATATATTGAGAAAAAATATGTTTTCCACTTGCAGAAGATTATTTGTTCAAATTTTCGTAATTGAAGAATAATAATGTAAAATTACATGATACATTTCATTTTTATAAAAAAGTATATAATTTATAGTTGTGCAATTAATGATAGACTATATTATTAAAATGTCTAATTTTTAAAAATTTTTCTCAACATATTTATTAAATATTTTTCTATTGTTTATTACTTATCATTTCCGCTATCAATAGTTGAAATGTAGAAGGGGCTGTATCCCTATGCCTAGCTTGTGCTGCTGCTTGAATGAGAAAACCTGCTTGAACAAATTTTATTTCTTCCTTATAAGTTGGTTGGCCATCGTATAAAGCTCTTATATACTCCTATTGTTATAAGAATAAGAATAGACATTAAAATGTGCATTACAATTTACAAATAAAACATTTTTAGCAAAATAATAGGAACGTTAAAAATATAGGATTAATTTTCTAAGACATTAATTTACATTTTGCATATTTAACAGCAATAATCAAAGAAACGTATTTATCATACATTTTATACACTTATTATACTTATAAGAATAAATAAAACCAATTTGCATAGAATAATTGAAAGTTTGAATACTTCAAATAAACCTAATCTAACCAACCTTTAAATTGTAATATAGTAATTTTAGTTTTATATTTACCGCCGATTCATTGTCACCTAGAATCATTCGAGTGTAAGTTACAATATCTTCTTTCGTTAAAAAGGAGTCTGAAAGAATACAATTGTATATATATTTTTAAAAAATGACATACGGTAAATTTAACAGCAAAAAATTTGAGTGTAATATTGTGTTACAACATTTTTATTTTTAATATTATAGCAACTCTGTAAATTAAAAATTTTATCTAGTTAGTACTTGGTGGGAGGGGGCGGTAAATTGAAAAGTTTACTTCTTAACAGTTTAAATTTAAAAAACAAACCATACGAGTTTTAATGTGTGTACTAGTCCTCTAGGATAAAACTACTTTGAAAAAAACGCATTGATGCTAAATTATAAACATCGCACCTCTCATTGATTAGTTCTTACTAATAAGTAATATATAAAAGTATAATTTATTGTTTTCTCCATTACAGTTTAAGATTTACTTTTAATTTCAATGTTTGATACTCAATTTTTCTTTAGAACAATACAAGAAATAAATATACAATTTGAGGATCTATGTAAAGGTTTGGTTTTGTACATTGTCAAGCTAATAAAATAGAAGTATATTAGAGCTATGAAAGAGTATAATCTATGAAGTATAAAGAGTTAGTGTGCGATTACTCTAATGAAAGTACATAATACATAAATATTATTTTTATTGAGAATAAGTGATTATAATTTAAGTTTTGGAGTACAAACGGTTAAAACATGAATCACCTACCATTCCAAATAAATTTAACAAGGGTTTAATTATTTGTCATTTGGGCCACAATGATTTTGACGGGAAGTCACAGGTTTACAGGAATTATTACAACTAAAAGTATTAAAATCACTTTCAAATAAACACTTCGATGCGAATCAGTAGCTAGTATCTTTAAATCAGTAAAGTCTAAACCAAGCACAGTATAAACAAGCATAGTAAAAAAGAGTTAAAATGAAGTGTAGTGTTTATAAATTAGCATCAAAGCGTTTGTTTGAAAGTAATTTAATCCGAGAGGACTAGTACAGTAGCGTCGAGGAATAATGTAATCAAAGCATAGCGGGGACGGAGAGGTCACGGGTCTACAGGAAGCTTTATTGATAAACGTCATAAAATCACTTTCAAATAAACACTTTGATGCTATTTGTAACCACAACACCTCACTTTTTTTTTACTATGCTGGTTTATACTATGCTTGGTTTGAATTTTACTGATTTGAAAATACTAACTACTGATTCGCATCGAAGCATTTATTCGAGAGTAATTTTATCATATTGAGTTGTAATAATTCCTCTCAACCTCTGTCCTCCTCGGCCCCACTATGCCCCACCCTACTGTATTGTCTTTTTTTTAAATCTGATTATGTATCTCATGTTTTGCTAATATTTTTGTATGCACCAAAAATGGTTTCATCATTGACAGTTGATTAATTTGTTCGTAATTTACGAATACAATGTACAGTTTTACAAATGATAGATTTGATTATTAAAATGTCTTTTTAATAGGTTTGTACATTTTACTCAACATATTTGTTGAATATTATCATATTATTCATTACTTATTATTCTCGCTTCTACAGCATCACGATCGAAGTAATTTCCATTTGCGCCTGTTTCCGTTTTTACTTGGTCAACTACTTCTAATAGCCCTTGGTATTTCAGGCCACCCCTTATTTTATGCGCATTGACTATTCTTGTTATTGCTTCCTGTTGTTATAAGAATAAAAATCACTCATTAAATTGTATAATACAATTTGTAAGTTAAATTGATCCTTCTTTAACGAAAATAAAAATGCGTAGTTATATATAAAACAGATATATAAAATGGCTTGCAAATTTTTTCAGCATAATAACATAAATTTCATATTAGTTAACGTTTTTTTGTTATTGTTATCAAAAATTGGTTATAAGTGAAAATATTACTTAAAAAACTCTTCGGTGCGAAAATGGAAGTTGTTTAAACATTAAAGTATTTTTCTAAACTATACATTACATTTTGTACACTGTTAAGCAACAATCTTAGGTATTTTATTATTAATAATTAATCAGTACTCGTTATGCTTACAAGTTGATTTTGATTAGGAGGAGCATCTTGACAATTCGAAAAATACAATGCCACGCAAAAAAACAGTATCATGGTTTTTGAAAACATTTTAAATATTCGAACAATAAACTTGGATTTAGAATATTTAACTAAGTTTGTAACTATTGAACCGTGAACTTCGCTTTAAGCAACAGATACTTAAGAACGTTGTTATTTGCGTTGTATGGCATTTATAGTAAACGCAATCCCTAACTGTTATTTTTTATGTACTTACCACATTTTAAAACTGTTTAGTTATGTGTAAAATATATGCATATATTTTCAACGATTATCGGTAGTGCCGCATCTAAAGAACATATTTAGAATAATCTAGACTGGGACAATAGTCAATAACACAAACAAACATATTTCTTAAAATTTTGTTGCTAACCTTTTGTTTAAGAAAAACTATGAAAAATAGACCTAATACCTAAAAAGAAGGGTCACATTTTTTTCCCTTTGGATCGATTTACTCGAGTATCATCTCTATATATCCGAAATAGTTTGCGATTATTGGTACTTTGGTGGACCATAAGACTTCTTTGCCCCCAAAAACTAACATAATCGAAAAAAAATTTGCCGGATTTTAAACTTCGAACTTTAACTCACTAGATCTTATTGAAAAACGGTCGGATCGAAGCGCAATTTTTATAGAACATTTATAAGGCATGTCTCTATCCCCAAATAGCCACAAATCAAATTTCGATAGCCCTGCATCCTGCCCCCTCCCCCCAAATGTTAAAATTGTTTTGGTTTGAAACTAAAGAGCTGAAGATAGGTCTATATATATCTGTAACTTGTAAAAAAAGATATAAAACAAAATCATATTTTTTTTTAAACATGTCTATGTAAGATATACAAATGTTAAATGGATTACCCTGTGCCAATATGAAATACGAAAAGTAAACATATACATATACTATTGCAATTGACAATAAAATATTATAATTCCCAGAAGACTATACAGGGTGATATTTTTATCATAAGCCCTTCAATATGTCATAGGGTTTAATAAGAAATTAAAATTTTTTTTTCATATTGTTTGTATACAATCTGATCTAAATTTTTCACAAATTTTGTAATTTTTACCCTCCCTTCCAACTTAGTTATTTTTTTATATCAACTTTTCAAACTTAAATGGTAACGTATATATTTTATTTCTTTTTTAAATTGAGAATTATGTATAACAAATGTTGACTGGTCGATAACTAGTTTCAGATAACTATTTTTAAAGTTATAAGGGTTTTAAGACTAGGATGGGAGGAGAAGTGCGGTTAGGAAAGGCGCGTAGTTAAAAATAATACTCCACTCCACCTTCCTCTTGCCTTAAACTTGAAACTTAAATAACTTCAAAAATAGTTATCCGAAACTGGTTATCGACCAGTCCAAGTTTTTAGTACATTATTCTCAGCTTAAAACTTTAATAAAATATATACGTTACTATTTAAGTTTCTAAAGTTGTTATCAAAAAAACTAAGTTGGGAGGGGGGTAAAAACAAAAAAAATTGTGAAAATTGAGATCACATTATATAAAAACAATATTAAAAAAAAATTTGTAATTTGTTTGTAAGCCCTATAAGATGTTGAGTGGCTCGTGATAAAAAAATCACTCTGTACTATAATGCAATGGAGATCAGGCTGTAATGTCAAAACACGAGTAAAAACGTTGAGTAATTTTCTGTTTAAGAGACATGGTGTAGTGCAGTGGACACCTCAGCTGCCACGAAGAACCTGAGGTTAAGCTGTGTCCAACAACACAAATCAACCAACAGCGTATTGTGTTACCTATAAATTAAGGTGATTAAGCGACTATACCAAAAAAACAAAGTTGGTCCAACCAAATTTATGGTTAATTTAATGGCATAACACATTTCTAGTTGGACTGACTTATTAAAAACTTGATCCTACTTAAAGTACGCATACTATAGTGGCACAATACATTTCTAGTTAAATAACTAAATAACAAGTTGTTCTACCAAAACATTTAATTAGGCCAACTAAAAATAATCGTGTCCCTACATTAACCATAGTTTAAGTTAGACCAACTCTATTATATTTTTTCTGTGTAGGAGGATGGTATGCAAATCAATTATAAAGATATATCGAATACTAGCCAAATTACCCGGCGTTTTCCGAAGAAATATTGTGATTAGATAACCATCATCACACGACGCCAAATTAATTTAGGTTCTCGTACGCACCCTCCCCCATTGTTACGTCATCGTGCTGATGGGTATGTCGAACCCCTCCCTCCCGTCTAATTTTAAGGAAATATATAAAGGCAACCAGTGCGACGTAATTCACAGTGTCTATATATTTGTTGTCCAACTATGTTTTGCAACACTCTTTTTGGGGGTAACTCACTGTAGAAGCAATGTCTTTTTAAGTGTAAATCAACCAAAATAACGTTTATAATAAAGCTTTAACCCTGCATTAGTCGCGCGGTGTAAAATCGCATGAGTAGTCGCGCGTCTACATATGTAGAAAAATTACAATTTTGCCAATTAAAATGTATTATTGCAACATAAATTAATGATTTGACCACATTATTCAATTCTCATATATATTGTGTATTTCGTATCAATGTTGTACAATATTAAGTAATTTAATACATATAAAAGGAACTGTAACAATTTAAAGGAGAATAAATAAAACAATATTTTTAAAATACATATTTTTACACACATATATATATATATATATATATTTATTATGTATATGTATAGCATATATATAGTATAATAAAGTGTATAACATCAATACATAACATTTAAAATATACCCATAAACGTACAATGTATAAAAATGTTGTACCTGAGTAGTCGCGTAATCTACAATAGTAGAATATGCAACTTTATCGCTCAATATACAGAATTACACAAAAAATAAAGTCCGAAATCTTAACAGATATCAAAAATACAATATCATTTAAAGGTATAATAATTATCATTGTGATAAAGAAATCCTAAAACCATTTAAAATAAAATTGATTATCGGTGTTCTACAATAGTAGTACGCGAGACTAATGCAGGGTTAAACATAAAAACGTCTAACATTAGAAACCCTTGAAATAAAAAAAATAAATATCTATATCTAATTCAAATTTTGTCTCTGAGCCCTTACAGGTCTGTTGTGATTCTTAAAACGTAACAACACAGAATTAAAAATAATAGTATAAAAAAAATAATTGATATGAAAGCTTATGATAATAAATAATATAAAAGATGAGCAAATATCACAAAAATTATATGTTTAACATATTATCACAAATATTATAATCATGATAAAAATATAAATAGCTTGCGATCTCTTGAATTGGAAAGGATCATTTGATAGTACAATGTGTATGCGAGCAATAAAAACTGAATTGCCATTTGCAGAACCAGTAAAAATGTTAGCTTCTATAAGATTTTTCTGAAAAGCAATTACACGCAGACGTGTACCATTGCATAACTTAGGTGGGCAAAGATTTCTTAAAATCATTATTGGAGTAATTATTTTTGAAAAAAAACGTCTTATCCTTAATGTATTATGTGTATTCAACATAAAACATAAATTTGAGATATCTATACCATTGATTTGTGTACCGTCCTCCTAGAGAGAAAAAAATTATATTTGGTCCGACTTCAACTATAGTTAAATTTGCAAATTTAGTAATTGTAAATGTTTTTAAAAAAGGAAAACTAAAAATTAGAATTATTTTCAGGAAAAAAGTGTTTTATACTTAATGTATTTTGGGTATATAACATAAGACATATTTTTAAATCTATACCATTGATATGTTTACTACCCTCTTCCACAGAAAAAATATATTATTGGTCCAATTTAAACTATATTAAGACAAGATTAGCTTTTATAAGGCCGAAATAAATGTTTTGTTAATTAGTTATTTGAACTAGAAATGAATTCGGCCCCTATACTATTTGTACTTTTAGTGGGGTCAAATTTTTAAAAACTCAGTACAACTATAAATGTATTGTGTCCTCAAACTAACCATCATTTTGGTTGGACCGACATTGTTTTTTTTCAGAACGTAACTTATTCACCTTAATGTATATGTTAAATTATTTATTTAAACATCTTGACTCATTTTTTCGAAAAATATTATGAATATTTAAAATATTCTACAATTATTTCATGCAACGATAACCAAAATTGTTTACTGCCAATGATATATTTTATCCGACTAAAGTGTTTTTAGAAACATGGTATTATGTGCTGTTATTTTCTAAATATTATTGCCATTTGCGTCATACTTTAAAAAATCTGTTTCTATATAGTTTGAATAACATTTGTTAAATAATGTATATTATATTCAATTGAATATTTTTTTGACACATAAGTTTGCAAATTTAGTAATTGTAAATGTTTTTTAAAAGGGAAAATTAAAAATTAGTATTATTAAAAAAAAAAAAAGTGTTTTTTCCTTAATGTATTATGTGTATTCCACATAAAACATTTATTTGATATATTTATACCATTGATTTGAATACCATCCTCCTAGAGAGAAAATATATATAGTTGATCCCAATTAAAATATGGTTCATGTAACGACACGATTAATTTATAGTTGGCCCAATTAAATATTTTATTAGAACAACTTGTTATTTAGTTATATAAACTAAAATAGTATTAAGCCCCTATAATATGCGTATTTTTAGTGGGATCATATTTTTAATAACTCAGTTCAACTAGAAATGTATTGTGCCCTTAAGTTAACCATAAATTTGGTTGGACCGACATTGTTTTTTGTAGAACGTAACTTATTCACCTTATTTTTTAGGTTAAATTATATTTCAACATTTTGAAATAATAATTGTGTTCGAAAAACTTGGAATATTTAATATTTTTAACAATATTTTCATGCATAGCCAACCAAAATTGTTTACTGTCAAAGATATAATTCATCCGGCTCAAGTGTTTTTAGAAACATCGTATTATGTGCTGTTATTTTCCAAATATTATTGCCATTTGCGTCATACTTTAAAAAATCTGTTTCTATTGTATAGTTTGAATAACATTTGTTAAATAATGTATATTATATTCAATTGAATATTTTTTTGACACATTAGTTTGCAAATTTAGTAATTGTAAATGTTTTTTAAAAGGGAAAATTAAAAATTAGTATTATTTAGAAAAAAAATGTCATATCCTTAATGTATTATGTGTATTTAACATAAAACATATATTTTTATAGAT